AATCCGGAAAACACGAGAAACACACATAATAATAATAAATATTCATTGTGGTAAACCAAATAATAATTTGATCTAAGTAACAGTTCTTTTTTTTCTTCCCGATTTGTAAAAAATCCTTATGTGATAGAAAAAAAAAGAATATTATTTTCGAAATCTGTGTAGCTGAATTATGGAAAATCCGTTATTAAAACTAAAACAACTTTTATGAAGTTTAAATTCGCAGGCCTGTGTAATTAAAAAGGAGTCTATTAGAAATCTTACAAAGCCGACACAATGGTTACTGGCGTGTTAATAGAGATTTCTTCAATAAATTATACAGTTTATTTTATTACAAAGTCAAATTAATGGAGAAAATCTCGTTATATGAATATTTTTGTTGTTATTTAACTTGAAGCGCCAAAATGTTTATTTTCATATTCTTGCTATGATGGTTGTAATATTTATACATTAAAGGAATTATATCATTATAAAGCGTACGCTATCGAAATACCAGCACGCGAACACAAATCAATTAGAATGTATTTAAGAAACTTGATTGAAAATCATTTAATTAATTTCAACTCTACCGACCTCCTAGTTACTTTATTTTTCTACTTCTAACGAATAATATTTACTAATCAACCAAACAATGGGGGAAATTAACAATTTAATCCCCCTTTTTTTGTGCAACCATTCATGAAAAGCAAATTAAGTTTAGCAAAAGACATTTATTTAACACGTGACTTTAACTGTCACTCTAAATTGAGTTTAATCACCCTGTGCTCGAAACTTTCTACTCGAGGTGATAGACTTATTTAAAATAATCTCAACTTGCAGGCTACACTATTGGTTAATCACAGTAAAGGCAGTCAACTACAATTATTCTTTGAACGAAAAGAACAAACAAAATACATGTAAAAGTCACCACGTTAAAGTGATGAGAGAAATATATCATTTCCACTGATATTCAGAACGATTCTATTTATTAAATACATGTAAAAGTCACCATGTTAAAGTGATGGGAAAAATGTATCCTTTCCACTGATATTCAGAACTTTTCCATTTATTACATACATGTAAAAGTCAACGTGTTAAAGTGATGAGAGAAATGTATCCTTTCCACTGATATTCAGAACGTTTCTATTTATTAAATACATGTAAAAGTCACCATGTTAAAGTGATGAGAGAAATGTATACTTTCCACTGATATTCAGAACGATTCTATTTATTAAATACATGTAAAAGTCACCATGTTAAAGTGATGGGAAAAATGTATCCTTTCCACTGATATTCAGAACTTTTCTATTTATTTCTCAGCAGAAGGTGGGTCATTTTTAAGCAGTTCATATTCCTCACCCTTGGTTCAAAGATAAGCTTAAGGACTAATAGTGCTAGAATTCGGATTAGATATCCGCGGTAGACACAGAACTAAAACCAAACAAGAAAAACAATTCACT